AAATCATTCTAATATGCTGATTTATTATTAGAATTATCAACAGTTGTGCAGCCAAAAGAATAAAGGTTACGCCTTCTTTCTTTGCGTGAATATTTGGGCGGCGTTATGCAAATCTTCTCACATCGTGACGTAGACATGTGGGGTGTGTTAGAACGAGCCGTTTTAGGTAGGCGTGGCTGACTCTTAACGTTTATAAAGAATATCTCTTTGGATTTGAGACTTTAGTCTTTGCAACTTTACAGATCTTCTTTATGCACCAAGAGCTTGTAACACTTCAAAGAGAAAGGAAAAATTGAAATCGCATCATATGACCCCTTTAACATTTTGGCCGAAACGGATTAGCCGATAACTGTTATCATGCCAAATCAAACAACAGATAAATGGCCAGCTTTAAAACTCTACACTGTTTAAATAAATAAAAAATAAAGCACTAAAACTTAAAATCAATTGTTATAAATGCTACAATCAATTTTAGGCATCAGGGTCAATCCATCTCAAGAGGTCCAATGGAGGTTGCTTGACCATTTTTAATTTTCCTCATTTTGCAATACATAGAGATAATCGCTCAAATAAATAAATAAATTGGAAAACAAACAACAACAAAAAAACAATCAAGCAATAAACTTTTGAATTTTGGGATTAACTAAAGATTAACTTAAGGTGCGTGTTAGATGACGACAAAAATGAAATAGTGGAAATTAGCATGTACAACAAAAAATATTCAATATCGCCGGATACGATAAACAATATGGCATCAATATATTGCATCTGTAGTCAGATTCTTTGTTTAGGCAATCTGAAGACTTTGAGCCACTTTCTTCCTGTCAATCATGTAACACTTTCAACCTCTAAGAAATGCGTCTCTCAACTTGTATTTTATTTTCTGTGTGAATGGCCCCTAAGAATGGCAATTTTCTACCATTATTTTTGACAATTTTGACAACACTGAGATAACATGCTACTGTTCTGATTACAACCATACAACTGTATCCTTGTCGGATGGGGTTTTGAAAAGAGGGGGTGTGTCCAAATCAGTAAATGATTAAGAACAGCTAACATACAGCACCTTTAATTCAACTCTTTACATTCGAGAGAAAAAGACAATTAACAGAGGGCTGGAAGAAGAAGCAGAGGTTAAGGCTAAATGCTAAACAAAACCACATAGACACAAGCTGGGTCAAGAAGAAAAAGGGGAAAAGAGAGAGGCTGACAACCGCCTCTAATTTCTCTTGTCGGATTCAGGTGGGCTGTCTAGTTGTGATCAGTCCCAAACATAATTCCAGCCTGCAGAACGAGGGACGATACATGCGGAGACAGAGGGGTGGAAGACAGCGTCTCTCTTCCTCCTTACCTCCAGCTCACACCCCCCAAACAGACCCCTAATTGAAAGACGAGAGTAGCCCAGACCTTGACAGGAGGGAGGTCAGTCTAATTGCTGCTGGCCATATTTAACATTAAGATAATCAGCCCATTAATTACCCTTTGGATCATTAAATCAGTCGCTTGCAAAATGAAATTTCGAGCTCTATTACTCACTTGAGAGACCACGAGGGAGGGTTTTCATTTATCAGCCACCAATCCTGGATGCAGAGCGCACACACCAATGCCCGAGCTGTTCACCAGGACACAAGCTCGCTGAGTAGCAGCATTTAGCGACAAAACAACACTTCAGAGTCTCAATGCTGAGACATGCTAATCAAGAACATGAATTTCATACACACTAAATAAGAAATCATGTCGAAAACTCAATATTTTCTGAGATGTAAAAAGTATGCATTATATTATATTTTTATTTCAGATTTCACACATTTATTATGGTCAAATGTGCTCTTATCAAATCAGATTGAAGCCAGTTGGACGGTTACAAGCTAAATCAATTCAACCGCCCAGTTAAAGATGGGAAGACATCAAATTACACACAACGGAGCACTGACAAAATCACATACACGCACGATCACAGGGTGGACAAAGTAGTCTTCAAAATGTCCAATTCTACATGATTTCAAGTTTATTTATTATGTCTTTTATTGGCCTAAAAGAGAGTTTCCCAACAATGCCTCTTGAACCCCTAGAGTTTCATGAGGGAGCTGCAGGTGGTTGGTTTTAATCAGACAAATTTAATCTTAAAAAAATAATAAAGTAATAAAGGCATAGTTCACCCCAAAATGAAAATTCTGTCATTAATTACTCACCCTCATGTCGTTCCAAACCCGTAAGACCTTCGTTCATCTTCGGAACACAAATTAAGATATTTTTGATGAAATCCGAGAGCTCTCTGGACCCTGCATAGACAGCAATACAACTGAAACTTTCCCAGACCCAGAAACGTAGTAAGGACATCGGTAAAATAGTCCATGTGACATCAGTGGCTCAACTTCAATTTTGCAAAGCTATGAGAATACTTTTTGTGCGCAAAGAAAACAAAAATAACGACTTTATTCAACAATTTTTCTCCCCTGAATTACCGTCTTCCACCATTTTGGAGAGTACCATGACGCATGCGCACGCTTTCCCTGAACATAAACAACGTGCATTTTACAGATGCCCTTACTTTTTGGAACGACATGAGGGTGAGTAATTAATGACAGAATTTTCATTTTGGGGTGAACTATCCCTTTAATAATACTTTTTATAATAATAATAGCAATAATAATTCAGCATTTATTTGATTAAAAATAAAAAATTACTTTGTAAAAGAATTTTCAGCAGCCATTAGTATTGGTCACATGATTGTTTGGAAATCATTCTAATATATTGATTTGGTGCTCAAGAATTATATCTTATCAATAGCAAAGTTTTGTTATCGACAAAAAAAAAAAGTCTCCAGCCTGTTTCCATCCACTTGGCTTTTTACCGATAAAATGGTGTGTGTAATCACGCCATCACAAGAAAAAAAAAAATATTTTCACATAAGTTTTGTTGTATCGCAAAAAAAAATTGCGCTTGAGCCTTTTCCATACATAATTTCACATACTGCGCAAATTATATAGGCTAATAGCCTATTTGTTCCCCATCCCTTTGAAACAAAACTTTATTATACATTGTATACATAAAATCATTTTTATTAACAAGTGTCATGTGTGTTTTTTTTTGTACTTTGTTATTCTGTCATGTGACACCACAAAGTGTTTCCAAACTAATTTTTGCGACATTTGAAGTGTCAGTATAAAATATATGAGCTAAAGTTAAACGGAAAAGGTGTTTTTTCAAATGTATCTTCTCTGCTTAGCCTATAAATGTATTACACATCAACTATTAATGTCACTAAGCAAAAGCCAGTTCCAGTCAAAAGCATGAAAGAATCAAACTGAATTACACTTCGTATATTTCAGCAGGAGTATTGAAGACGAGTAGAGAGATGACTGCAGGACTGTTTCCAGTGACTGAGGTTAATTGAGATAATATTGACCCTCTCTGTAATCTCCTCCTCCCACCACATGCCTTCACATACATAAATAAACAGCTACATGAGGAACTATAATCGCATTAGCACATCGACAATGGGCGGCAGAAAATGGCGGATCCATATTGAAAGATTTTCAGAGAGGAGGGGAGTAATTAAAAGGTGCTTCAGGTGACTAATGAGGCCGGCGTGGAATGGGAAGTCGATATTTTGGTGGCCAGCAGTCAGCACTAATTTGTTATGACGGCTGGTGGGACTAAAGCCTCTCTGCCGATAATTACGCTGCTGAAGATGAAGGAGCAAGGAAAAGGAAAAATCTGATTTTAGGTTTTTCCACAGTACTCCACAAACATATGCTATAAGGCGGATTGAGAAGGATGACAAATATCAACTGCTGGACTACTAAGAAAATTATGTTTCTGTCATGGACAAGATACAGTGTTTTCCAGGGTTCCTACACATTTTCCATTTTAAAATTCCATAATTTTCCACACTTCTCTGTAGATTTTTATGTTTGATATGCTTTTACACTTTCACTGATTGCATACATTTTTAATATTTATATATACATATATATAGTTTTAAAATAATATTGTCATTGATTAAATTTATTTAAAATTAAAATTATTAAATATACAATTATTGTCATTATTTTCAGCATTATATACAATATATAGTACAGTAATTTCTATATTACATTTTTCTGGCACAGTGCAAACCCACTCTCACATGTTCACCGCATGCACAGGTATTCTAGAAGTGCTAACGTGCTTACATGATGAGAAGAAACCTAAACATGCTTTATAACCTGCGTATATTCACCTCTGACAACTGTTTGAAACTGTAATTGTGGTTTGATGATGCATGATCACCAAACAGCAAAGAAAAATCATGGGTGGCACACACTCTATGGCTCTACGCCAATGTTTTTTTTAAGTAAAAATAAGCACCTTGCTTATATGAAGTGCAAATAATGACAGAAATGACAGAATGCATTGATTTTGAGAAACGCTCAAACAGACACTTGTTTGAAAGAGGAAATGATGTAACTGTGTACCTGCTGGCATCAGGGGCAGGCTTTAGGCGTCCTTGAGCATTGGCTTCCCACACACTATTAGCCAACTCATTGCCGATGGCCGACATGACCTTGATGAGCTCTAGAGGCCACTCGTCCAGGTCCAAAGAGCGGACACGAGACAGGTGAGTTCCCAGGTTGCGATGAATGCCTGAACATTCTATACAGATTAAAGCCCCCAGGTTCAGACTGGCCCAATCAGGGTCTGAAAAAGCCAGATAAACAAAGACAGAAACAAAGAAAAAGTCCTTAAGTGTATATACAGCATAACTACATTCATATGGCATATATTACCTCGATTTTCTATATGAAAGGATAGAGAAGGTCATTCTGGGTGTTGCACCATTTAGACAGATCAATATACATAGATCAGTACATCATAGAATCATAATGTACATTACGAAAGGTACATGCAGATCTCAGTTTATAACAAAACTCACTCTGGGCTTCACAATCCACACAGCGCGTGTTTCCTCTCATGTTCCTGACAGACTGCAGAGCGATGGCTTCTGATTGGCTGCTCAGACGAGACTGTGGGCACATTCACGAAAGTTAATGTTTATTTGAATGGTAATGACTTCTAAAGCATGTTATGAAGCATCATTAGACGCATCATTTCATGCTGAAATGAGATTCAAAAGCAGGGAAAGAAGGGGAACTAAATAAAAAGAATAGAGGCACTCGGTAGAAGGTCCAGGGAAATGCAATTTGCCCTGGCCTGAGGCATAAACACACAGTGGGTTGAGAGTTTAGACTGTAGCTGTGAAGCAGGAATGTAATACTGCAAAAGGCTAATACTACAACGAAAGTAATTACAGTTTCTAAATGTGTGCATGAATGTATGTAGAATATACATCCTGTATATATATATATATATATATATATATATGTATGTATACATATATTCAGCCCTATAACAAGGAGGTGTGGCATTTTAATTATCTTTGCACTTGATACAACATCAGCACTTTAATAAGAAAAGATGACAGCAAATAACACTGACTACAATCATTTAAATTGTTGTTTCAAACTGGGGACCAAAAGGGTGCTAGTAGATCCATGGAAAATTTCAGAGAGGGAAAAAAGATTTATTATTATCATCATCACTATAATTATTTTTACTTGAAAGTTTATTTATTTATTTTGTTTTACTCATAAGGTTAAATATAAAACTGCTTTCAAATATTTTTGAAATATTATTGCAAAAAGTGTTATAAAAATACATTTTGTTGTAACAGTTCTCTAATACTGTGTTGGATCACATTACTTTAAGTTGGAAAATAAATGTTTTTCATTTGTTAACAAGAAATGAAGCAGTATTTCTTAAAAATAATAAATAAAAATGAAAGACTAAATCAAACCTTTTTTTAGCATTTTATTCTTATAAATGAGGATTTTTGCCCTGACATTTTTTACTTTATACTCCCTATATACTATATACTCTGCATTCAGGTTACTGTATGTACAAATTGCATTTTTTTTGTGTATCTTTGAATAAATTAATGGTTAAGCATCAAGTAACAGATCCACTATATGCATTTTTTCTACCTTCTGTTTGCTGCTCTCACAGGACTGTAGACTCGCCAGAATCTGGCTCTCAATGGCCTGAACCCATGCGTCCCGCTCCTCATAGGACGTTGCCTCAAAATTCCAGGTCTGTCCCGTCAGAGAAACAATGATGAACTCAAAGTTGTCCTCTTGTTCTAGATCGCATGGGAGAAAACATTCAAGATGATTACTAATCAACAGCTACAACATAGATACTGTATTTTCCCCATTAAGTAGTGTATGTGATCTTTGAATATTTTGGTCTTTTTTTTGTTTGTTTGTTTTGATGCAACTCTTGAACATTTCATGAATGTGGTCTTAAAATTATATGAATGATTAACTCAAACACTTTGCTTGTAATGTTCTAGGATAAAAGTCCCCAGGAAGGATTCTCGCCCCTGTAGAGCACCTGTTAGCTGTGGGACACACTCCGCAACCCCTGACCTGGGGGGCTTGCCCCACGACCCTGGTCAGGATATGCCACTAATTACAAACCAGACCAGACCAGACTCCCGATCTTTCCAACCGTGCTGCTGGTCCTGTCCACAACATTCCCTAGGCAAACTGACATATGGATCTGCTATCCAGGGCCCTGGTTAGGTTAATGGGCCAATCATGAGACAATTAGGAAAATGTGTGTGTGAGTGAGTGAGAGAGTGAGAGCCCTTTTCAAGAGTTTATCTCGGGAGTTTGAGTACAGAGAAATGGAAGGAGGTTATTTAACGGCACTGAGGGTCAACATTTGGAAAGTGTTAGGAACAAAAGGCCATTGACGGGGTGATCAGAGGGGACAGCAATGGAAAGGGCACGCAGATGGCTCGAACAGAGATGTGAGACATTGATGAGATGCGATGGTGTGTCACAATCAAAGGGATCCCACCCGAAACACGATCTGAGGCCGTAAGAGATCACACACTTTACACATTCTGTTTATAATTTACTCTGGAGGGGCAATTACATAATGAAGAAGTAATCAGGGAAGTAATACCCCTCCACACACACACACACACACACACACAAAAGAGGCATCCCTAAGGCCAAAATGCCATGAAGTGGAAAACCACCACGCTCCCCATGGCATCTGCAAGGCCAATGAGAAACAGGAACAGGAAACAACCTGGAAACTCTGCCATTCTAGTAAAAACTCTTCAATATAATCTCTCATGGACAGCTGGTATCCCCCTGGACGACAAACCTACAAATCCGGTCAAAAGAATGGATTAATTAAGATTTCCTGATTCTTTGGAAATAGTTTTTTTAATGCTCACCAAGGGTGTATTTATTTGATCAAAATACTGTAAAAACAGTAATATTGTGAAATATTATTACAATTTAAAATAACTGTTTTCTATATGAATATATCTTAAAATGCCATTTATTTCTGTGTTTGCAAAGCTGAATTTTCAGCAGCCCTTACTCCAGTTTTCAGAGCCACAAGATCCTCCTGAAATCACTCTAATATGCTGATTTGATGCTCAAGTAACATTTATTATTATTATCAATGGTATGATAACAGAAGTGACGGAAGCAAGCAAATATGGAAGCCAAGAGGACCTTGCTCACAGTTTGTATATCCACAGTACGAGCTTTCTCTCATGCAGGCATAGAGCATACGTTCTAAACTTACATACTAGAAGGCTGTTGGCTGTAGTCTCTGCCGTGTGTTCAAGAGCAACTTTTCGGCTCAGACACAGGCAATGTGATGCAACACCACAGTCAGCTTTTGTCGCCACTAGTTCTTTGATGTCGGTTTGGTGTGTCTGGGCCTTAAGTGAGCAGTTCTTGCTAGAATAAGCTGTAATTTGGACCAGATTTATGCCGATAGTCTGGCTCTTTGAATCAGTCATTTAGCCAAAAGCAAGTTAAAAACAAATTTATCAATTGTATTCACAGCTGATTTGTTCTTTTTCCCATAAACAAGTCTTTAACCCCCATTTGTCTCAGACTTCTCTTCCAGCTATACTATGTTTTGAGACAGCTCTTCGAATCATCTCCCTGTGAGGCCATTTCACAAGTTTAATCGGCAGGAAATCTGTCCAGCAACACCATTTCCTCTCCTTCAGTCAATCACAGGCCTAATTGGACTCCTATCATACAAGTCATATTAAAGGTCCCGCAGGGCAACAGGCCGCCCTCACTGCTGTAAAAGAGCCTTGTGTTCAAATCCCAAAATTCCTCCTTTACGGAAAGACATGCTTGGCAGCCAGAGTGCTTAAACCTCTCTGGCCTCCAGCCTCAGAAAAGGGAACTGTAGGAAAGAGATCTTTCCGGTTCTGGATCAAAGGAACAAGCAGACAATAGAAAATGTGCTCATTTACAGCAAAACTCAAACTCAAAACATCAACAAAAAGTGGCTGGGGAGTCTGGGCCTATTATTTATTCATTTTTGACGGTTTTTTTTTTATTATTATTAATATTTGCAAGGTTTGGGGGCTGGTGGGATCACTGGAGCATCCCAGCCTAGATTGGACCCACCCTTCAAAGGCACCGGGCCCTCTGGGGTCAGCAGCAATGTTCTCACCCTAATTAAATCGCAGTGCTGTTGGGGAGAGGGCGGTGTTTGACAATTATGAAAAGCAACAATGCAGAAAGACGATATTTGGAGGCAAATATGAAGATTGGCTCCGCCCCCTCCCCTTAGCACACAATTAATTAGAAAACAATTGTGTAATACAAAAACTGCGATGACAGGGTATCAGGCTGCCACCCCTCCCTTCTATTTCGCCCTTAAATGGGGTAGCTATCATTCATTGGGAGCCTGGTACTGCTCTCAATATTCCACAAGCCACTAATAGGGCAATCATTATGTTTCACACAACTTAGACTGAAAGGATCCAATCACTTTCATGCTTTTCTATTCTTGCGCTGTGATGTTCAGGCATATTGCAGCGGCAAGGACATTTGTGAACTCTGACACAGGCAACCTTTACCAACACACGGCATGCAATCAACTCGGAGAGAAAGGATGCAGCATGAACAGAAATGAGGCAGGGGGTGTTAGCTTCACACGGCCCAGACGGCAGTGCTCGGGGGTACAGTGGAAGAGTTGAATGGTTGGAAACACAAATTAACCGAGCGAAATGTCAAAGCACACAGTATTGCTTTGTGACACAGGTCATTAATTCCCATATTATCCCCTCCCTTTTCAAGCATCCAGCATTAATAACCTGGCAAATATTACAGGAGTTATTCACATCCAGGGAAAAATGTGGACAAATAAATAAAGCAGGGGAGGGGTGGAGTCATGGGGAAAGGGGTGTAGGAAGGGGAGGGGCCAAAGCGCACACCACCTCCCACAATAATCCAATATCACCAAATGACATCATCCAATTTACCATCACTGCACTAAATCATCAAAACTCAAACACGACACTTTAACACGTACAAACACGATTATGGAAGCAAAGCATCATTTTACAATCGTTACATGCTCTAAAACTGTAAGTGCCGTGCAGGGAGTTTCGCGAGGGAGAACGATCAGGGAGGACAGAAGGATAAAGCATAATCACAGGGTCTCACCGCATGTGTGAGGGACTTGTCTAAAAAAAAAAAGAGGGGTACACTGACTTCCCCCTCGGTCTGTTTTCTGGAGCTAGTTACCTTCAGTGTTGGAGGCACTGCTGTAAATGTTGCGCAAACTACCGACCCGATTTATTTTCCATGCCCTACGTTTGGCTGCATCCGATGACAAGCAGAGGAATAGGTGGAGAGAAAGAAAAAAAGACAAAAAAACAAAACAAATGACAGGAGTGGAGAAAGTAGAAGAGCCAAAAAGATAAATATTTGGGAAATGAACAGGAAGTATCACAGAAGCTAAATATATATGACAGACAAAGGCAGGGTGAAAAACAAAGGATGAACTGCAGTCAGCAGTCAAAAGAGCAAATGTTCAAACAAATGAGAATTACGCATAAATGATTAATTGGCTAATGAAGTCAATGGGTTTGAAGCAGGGGTTGAAAACACATTGCATTAGTTTAAAAAGGCATAATAATGCACCGTTTGAGTGGAAAACTGCAAGACAAAACAGGTTATGTCCATGTTATCAAGCAGAGCGTCTAAATGAAAAATAAAGATGAATTAATAAATCTGTGCATTTCATAAAAGATGGGGAAAAAAGTTTTTCTCTATGAACGATTACGTAATTGTGGCATCCATAATTGTAATCGCGATTAGAAATTCGATTAATTGTGCAGCCCTACTACTAACAATGTCCAAGAGTAAACATACATCACAAGATTATTATTTTTTTTTCTTAATGTAAATTCCCACCACCATGCAATTCCGCCACACCAATTTATCTACTGTCTTTAACAGCATTCTGTGATCGAAATGAAAATGATTTAAGTGACACTTTGTAACATTAGCATACCTTGACAACCCAGGCTGATTGGAAATGTTCACAAAATATTGCGTTCACGTTATATTTACTTTCTTAGTAAAAATACTTAAATACTTGAGATGACATATGGACAAAGTTGTCTCACTAGTTTTTTTTTTTAAATATAAAAATCCCAATTAGGGTCAAACTTGGATTATTTTTATGCATTTTATATTTGTACATTTTTTAAGTGATGTGTGTATTTCACCATGTGTATGTTTATTTCACAGTGTTGTAATAAATTTAAAAATATTTTTAATAGGTTTTCATATTTTATGATTGAAAGTCTGGATCTGGGACAGGGGTAAAACAAACAAACAAAACTATTAAAAGTATTTAAAAAGAAAAAAAGAGAAGAAAAAGGTGAAGGCATGGTAAAAAGTTTGCAAGGAAGTTTAATGTGACCATCATATAATCGAAAGAAAATACTAACAGAAAGTTGCCCCATTTTAAAATAATAATGAAAAAAATCTGTTCCCTAAAACAAATTCTTCTAAAGTTACTGTGATATGCAAAATCCAGTTTAAATATATATATTTTTTTCTCAGTTCACTTTGTTCACAGGTCTGGTCTCATCTCTTTAAATAACTGCTCATTTTCCAGCTGTGCTGACAACTGACCTGAAGTCTCTTCGGCTCTATGCAGTCTCACTCTTTTCCCCTTAGGCCTAAGGGGACATTTGTTACACAACAGTAATCCTGGAAAAACAATCCAATCATGTACACAGCATCAGAGAGGAAAAAACTGCAATAACGTGGCCCGGAATCAAGCTAT